TTTAAATCCCAAACCATCCCGACATCCCTCAGGATGGGCTCTCTGGCTCTGTGTTGTGCAGGGCAGCACTTCCAGGAGCGTTTCTGGGTGGTCTGTGCACCACAGAAGGGCCATGTGGGCTGGATCAGATGTATCAGATGGCTTTTGAAAGGCAAAACTGTTTTTGGGAAACCAAGAAACTGGATTAAAAGTTCTTTGAAGTCCTGACTATGGATTCTCCACTGAGGAAAAGACAGTCCTTGTTTCCCAGAGCAGATGTCTGTGTTCATCCCAAGTGGATTTAAAGAGCTGTCCAAACATGGGAGGTGGGGTGATGGATTTGGAGCTGTCAGGGGAGAAAACGGGGCTCTGCTAAAGTGTAATTACTGTGCTTAAAAGCTCTACAGTGAAGTGGGTGGAAGAATAATTGAGCACTTCTGGTTCATTAATAACCAGATCTTTTAGCCCTAATGAATCCCCAGCAATAGAACCCGAATTTTACAAGAGTAGGACATTGAATGGAATCATCTTGAGTAAAGGCAAACAAATGTAAGCAAATGAAATCCCCTGCCAGAGAAATCTAATTTCTGCTTTGCTCATTCATTAACATTTTCATAGCAACTGCTATCCAAAGGCAATTAATGACAGTTTTATGTCAGCTGTTTTTTTTTTTTTTTTGGCAGAGTACTGAACTGTTGTGGGGGTGGTGGGTTTTTTATACCAAACCATGTAAATAATGACTCTCAGTTTATTGAAAAAGTGAAAGATTCCAGCTGTTGGCCTTCAGGCCTAACTGTTCAATACCTTTGGCTTTCTTTGTGCCACACAAGGAGCAGTTTTACCTCTCAGCATTGAGCTGGTTACACTTTTAAGGTCTGCAGTTATAGAATTACTGTTGTACCTGACAGATAAAACATTTTCTGCTTTGAATAGGTTATTAAAATTGGGATGGCAATGGCCAAAACTAACTTGGATTCCTTCCCTGTGAGTTATTTCAGTATCAGAGAACTCTCATAGGATGTGAGAATGCAGTGGTGTGAGTTAGTGATGTAAATAAAGTGGGACAGGAGGAGTTTTATGAGGGGAAAATCTACATTAGCTAATTTCAAGGAAGTCAGTGTGTGTTCAGTGTCCTGCCAGACATCTGCTTTCTGTGATGTGGAGAGAAGGGGTCTGGGCTCCATGCAGGAGAGAGGGTGAAATGCTCTCAAGCAGGAGTAGATTTACCAGCTTTGATGAGAAAAGGCTTGAAAAGCTCAGGCCATGCTGCTGTTGGGTTGGATTTTTAGTTTGGTTGATTTTGCACTGGGCAAAGAGGCCTTTGGGGAGGAAATAGATCTGAAAAGTGCTGAAAAAATTACATTTAGCTGTTGAGCACAGCACGTTCCCTGGCTGTGAGAAGTGGCGTGTTCACACACATTAGTGAATTGTGAGCCTCACAATAAAAGGCAATTATTGTGTGTTTAATGTACTTCCAGAATGATTCAGGAGTTGTGACCTCTCTCTAGGTTTTGCTGTGCATCCTGTTTAACATCTTCCTTGGAATAAATCTTGGGAAGCTTTGCCAAAGGTACTGGCCAGTAGAAAACCTCAAACGAGTGCTGGTTTCCGTGACAAAATGCACATTGGAAAGTGGTTTCCTGCATCCCTGTTGCAGTAATGGAATATATTTTCAGTGTTACCCAGAGAAGCAGGAATGGGGACTTTCCACAAGGGAGAATGGACTTAAGTTGAAGGAGGGGAGGTTTAGATGGGATTTTAAGGAGAAATTTTTCCATGTGAGGGTGGGGAGGCCACAGAAGCTGAGGCTGCCCCTGGATCCCTGCAGTGTCCAAGGCCAGGTTGGAGCAGCCTGGCACAGTGGAAGGTGTCCCTGCCCTGGCAGGGGGTGGGAATGGATGATCCTTAAGGTCCCTCCTAACCCAAACCATTCCAGGATTCCATGAATGGTTAAAAATTCCATGAATCTGTTAAAACAGAGGTGTGGGATGACGCTGGAGGTGATTCTGTGATCCTTCCTTGAGCCGTGTCCCTGCTCTTCATGGTTGATACAAAACCCTGACAAGATTTCTTCAAGAGCCACACAGATGAAGCATAAATAACATTAAAAGTTTCCTAGATTAGGAACCCATGGATGCTCAGGTGTGGTACAGCAGCAGGATGAATGCCTGGTGGATGTTGGAGAGAGGTGCTTTTTTCCAGATTTTTCTGGTTTGCAGAGGGAATTTAAACCTCAAAATTCTAACTCAGCTCTTCTGTGTGTAAGCAATCCTTTCCAAGGAGCTTGGCAGTGTTAAATCCCTGGCTGTGAGTCCGTCCTAGCATCCCTGCCTGTCAACCCCACTGATGCATATTTTATATACAGGCTTGGAAACATGAAAAATACCTTGGCTTTCAAGCTACAGCCAGAAATAAAACCTCACCTTGGAGCTCTGCTTTCCCTCAGAGCTCCCTGCAAAGGGAAGACTTCAGAGCTGTGGAGCTTTGAGGGGGAAGAAGCTTTAAAAAAAAGCTCAAGGGAACGATGCAAATGAGGGAAATGTCTCTGGGAAAATTAGAGGAGCTCAGTGATGTTGTGATGAAAGGTTGTCAGTGGAGATGGTGACAATTGAAGTGCATTACCCAGGGGTGCTGCAGTAATAGAAACAGGTGTTACAGTCCAACCTGTCTGCAAACCCAAGGGCTTTGGCTGCGTGTCAGCTGCCAGAGGAAATCCAGGGAAAACAGGGCTAATGGCTGCATTGTTCACAGAGAGCACTCACTGCTCATTGCTTTGTTTATTAAAATTAAGGAGAAAACGCAGAAATCTGAAAAATACCCACTGAGGCCTCCCCTTGCTGTTGTTTTCGAGATGAGGCAAAGAACACTTTGTGTAGAATAATAATATTTTATGTCAATCTTAAGGTATCCAGCTTTATTTCAGTCTCTATTAAAATGGGTGAATTTGGAGCATTTCTGTGGGAGCAGGAAATGTCTGTCACACTTGGTACCCACCCAGGTGTGGGACACCCCTGCCCCTTTCCTGTGTCTGATTGGGGGCATAATTTTCCATTTTGCCTTAAAAATGCTTCAGCAATTATGTAAGCATGGTTTCAGAGTTCAGTCTTCTGTCCTTTCATTATTTGTTATCTCTCTTTCTCTACTTTGGAGGTTTTGTGGGTCTGGCATCCATCAGCATCCAGCAGCTCTCCAGCTTCAGGCAGGTTAAAAAAAGCAGGGTATGTGCTGGATAAAAACTTCAGGTTTTTATTTAGAAAGAGGAGAAGGTGATTTAAGCCTGCAGCTTTTACTGTGACAGGCTCCAGCAGCTGAGTGCATCATCCTGCAAAGGGAATCAAGTTTGGGAGGGAAGCAAAGCCCAACTATGGAAGAAAACTTTGTTTTGTTAGGCTTCATCTGGGTGATTCTTCTCAATTTGATTAATTAGAACCATTTGTTTCTAGTAGTATATTGGTGTGTTACCCTCAGTTGCTTATCACAGTTTATTCATTTGAAGAAATTTTCAATGGAAAATTATTTTTGGATCGTCTTGCCCTTGGTGACTTTATTGAGTTTGCTGGTTTTGAAGTGGTTTGGATTGTTGGGAGCATTGTCTTGGTATCAGAGGGCAATATTTTTAGAGTTCTTTGGATTAGACAGAGTCAGATCTTCCAGCTGTGGGGCAGGGAATGGTGTCTGGAGCTCTGGGAGGTTTCAGATCCCTCACTGCTGACACGCACTTGACTCCCCACCCCAACCGAGGTGCTGGATCCCATTTCAGAAAAATAACGGAGTGACTCTGAGCCATTCACAGGTTTTTCCATGGGAGACACAGTTTGGGAACAAAGCATTGGCTTTTTGTCAGCTTCTGAAGTACAGGATCTTCTGAAAAACAGATTTGTCAGATCTTTAGACTCGGCACAGCAGGGTGAAATTCAAAGGCTGTGGGGTGCTTTTATCGTTCAACCTAGAAGGTGAAAACTCATCAACACCAAACCCTCGGCTTGAACAGCATTCATTTATCAGAGAGCAGCTCTGATTCCAAACCACAGGCCTTTTGTTCTGGGGCCCTCTGATGCTTTTATGACTGCTAATGATGCTCAGCAAACTTCAGCTCTCTCCCCTCTTCCTGATTTCAGGTAGGGGAGCCAAGAGAGAAATCTCAGATTCAAATATCTGGTTTACCTTGGCATTTCATTTGCCCAGTCTGAGAGGAGAACTTTGTACCCACCAAATCTAAGTGCTTTGATTTAGGAAACTTGGTTTGTGTTTGTTCCAGAGCACAAACAATTTGTACTGTATGAGTGCTCTACCATCCCCCCATCCGTGATGGAGTGAGTATGAAATTCTGGAATTCCTCATGCTGTCATTTAATCTGTAAAGAAAATGAGGATTTCTTTGCAAAGTAGCCTGAGTTTTCTGCTACTTTGGATGAAAACAGAGAAGGCAAAACTCCAAAGGTGCCTCTTACCTTGTCTTCATCTTCTTCTGCATGTCTCCCACACCAGTGTTTAATGGTGGGTTTTAAACAATTCCAGGAGGATCTACTTCTAAAGAACGCATTTGAGGGGCACAGCCAGACAAAAACAAAGTTTACTGGAAAGCAGGAAAGGATCTCCCCAACAGCTTATTATCCTAACAACTGGGAACAATTTAACAGTGCTGGATGTCTAACATGGAGGAGCCCATTAGCAGTCCTGTGGTGCCTTGGCAATAAATCATTCCACAGACCTAATTAGGTGTAATTCTGCAAGTCATTTGAGCGGGGTGCTGTTAAACCTGTGCTCCTTGGAGACCTGTCAGGGAGCACAGCATTCCCTGGCACAGGGAGGCAGAGCAGTGCTGTTATCAGCGGGGCCTCCTTCCTCACAGAACCCCAAAAATCGTGACAAAACAGCCTGTTGGTAAGAGTTAGCAGAGACATTTGTCAGTCCAGGGCATCTGGAGAATCCAGGGCTGCTTGCCAGCACACAGAGGCAGCAGCACTGTTAAATCATCCCTGTAGGGTTTGGGGTGTGCAGGGAGCAGGAGAGACGAGTGCTGTGGATTGAGGAGCTGATTTAGCTCTGGAGAAGTTTGCAGAAATGCAGAACAATATTTCTGGTTATTCAACACCTCTGTTGCTTAAGAGATGATTCTTTCATTTGGGGTGTGTCTGGCTGAATATTAAGTATATAATTGGTTGGTGTGAAAGAGATGCAGAATACACAGAGCAAAAAAAAAAAAAAAAAAAAAAAAAAAAAAAAAAAAAAAAAAAAAAAAAAGCCTGATCCATTTAATCAGTTCCTCCCTTTGATGAAAGACCAGGAGTGAAAGTCTCAGTAAATGTTCCTGTAAAACCTGGTGTCTCCTGGTAACTGTGTTCACTGTCACGTTTGCTCCAGGAGCAGCCACAGGTTTTTTCCTTTCCCATTTTCCCTGGCAGTCATTAGTCAGGCTCGTTGTGAAGTGCCTAATGAAGGGACACAAACGAGCTCTTCTGTGACAGCCCAGTCACTCCAACAGCCTGGGATGTGTCCCAGCAGGCTCAGCCCTTCCCAGGGCCTGGAATCTGCCTGGCATGGAGAGGGCAGAGGTGCCACAGGCACCACCAGCCCTCAGGTCACACCAGCTTGGAAGCACTTGCCAGCAAAAAATCATTACTTTTGAAAACACAGGTTTTAATTGCTTATTAAGGAATGGGTAATACAAAGAAACTGGGTTGATTTTAAACTTTCTTATGGTTGGTTTTTTTTTTTTTTTTTTTCAGTTGGCAAAAAAAATCCGTGAGAAGTTTAACCGTTACTTGGACGTTGTGAATCGGAACAAGCAGGTCGTGGAAGCTTCGTACACTGCTCACCTCACCTCACCCCTGACTGCCATCCAGGACTGCTGCACCATCCCCCCATCCATGATGGAGTGAGTGTCAAATTCTGGAATTCCTCGTGCTGCCATTTAATCTGCAAAGAAAATGAAGGTTTCTTTGCAAAGTAGCCTGAGTTTTCTGCTAGTTTGGGTAAAAACAGAGAAGGCCAAACTCCAAAGGTGCTTCTTACCTTGTCTTCATCTTCTACATTTCTCCCACACCAGTGTTTAATGGTAGGCTTTAAACAAGAGCTGGGAATCAGCTGGAAGCAATAAAAGGAAGAAAGTTTGTTCATAGTGTTCTGTACAAAAAGAGTCTGTCTAGATCCAAGACACCCTTTTTGCACTGAGGCACTGCTTGCCCTGAATAACTCTCCTCAGGCTGGTCATGGGACCTTTTCTCTCCTTTGAAGTAGCCAAAATCATGAGTTGGTCAGTCCATCACATGCTAACAGCTCTGTGCTCCAGTTTAATCAGGCTGACATGCTGCTGTTTGATAGCAGAGCTTTAATGAAATCGAGTCCATTGCTTGGAAACTGCATTTCTTCATGTTCAATTTGGTTGGTTTTAAATACAGGAGTTTTGACTAGGCTAAATCCAGGCAGTTGGTTGTCTTTAACTGTTGTGCTACATATTTGCAGAAATTTCTTTCTGTAGAAGTGTGTGATTGAAGCCCTGATTTTTCCAGTCAAAGAGGAGCAACTTTATTGAAAAACTGAACATTTAAAACATCTATTTCCATGTGGGCTTCAAAAGAAGAGTAACTTTCTTTTTATGCAAACCTTGATTACAGACCGATTTTTATTGTTTCTATCTCAGTCTGATTTAAAAACATTTGAGAGGGAGGAAGGTAATTTGGGTCATCAGGTGACTCCAAGGGCACAGGTTTGGAGTCTCTGCAGTTCCTGCAGGACTGGGTGCCTGTGGAAAATGCTGCCACATCCAGGCTCTTGGCAGTGTGGATAAAAGGGTCAGGAATTCTTTGAGGATAAAAACCTTTCTACTCTCTGTTCACAAAATCCATGGAGGAATCAACAGGAGCACCTACCCAGCAAGGGCTGAGAGGAAGGAGAAATGGGATTTATCACCCTTGTCAGTGTGACCTGATTTTTAATTAAAAAGAGAAGTTTGCTTTTAGTCTGGGAACTTTAGTGAATTCCTTTTCACTTTGTCCTCCAAAATTACATAGCTTGGAATTCCTCTAGAAATATCTTTACCTATGGTGAATTTGCATAAGAACCCTTCCCAGTAAAAGGTTTAAAACACAAGCAGCTGGCAAAGCAGAGGGGTGAATTTTTGTTTGCACAGCTCCTCATTCAGGCTCTGCAATGTGATTCTCATTATTTAGTTGCTTGGATCAATAATTAAATGGTTCCCAGACCAGTTTATCAGCTCCAGGATGTTCTGGACCTTGGCAAGATCTGCTTGAGGCTTTTCTGGCCATTGGACCCAGTGCTGTCTATAGGAAATCATCTGCAAGGCAAAAATAATAATGTAAAAATGTATTTTGTGTTTGAAACTTCCAAGTTTGAGCTCCATGCTTTGTTCATTGCCTGATTTGTCTAAATGCTGGCATAATTTCAGTTTTTCTGCCCTTTCTGCCTCTCCCATCTGCTGCTCTTCTTTCCATTTTCTTTCCCTGTGGCATCACCTTTCTGGGAGATTCCCCATTTTGGGTAAAATATCAGGAAAGAAGCTGATTCCCTTGGATATTGTGATCATATTTTTAATTCTTCCATGCTTAATTTGTGGACTAGCTGGGTCTGCACTTGCAGGAAGTGAAATTGGATGTGCTGCTGTTGATAACAGCTTATCCTTGGTGTTTAAAATGTTTAATGTTGGTGTTGCAGCAACAGTAATTCTAATTTTTTGGTTAAAGTATTTATTAACTGTTGCTGCAGGAGAGGTCATGGGGAAAAAGACCCAGATTTGTCTGTAAAAATCACTTTTTCTCTGAGATCCTTTGCCTGAGATTGTGCCTTGGCCATGTCTGAGTCCTCAGGGCTGTGGTTTTCATTCTGGAGGGTTGTGAAATGTTTGTGTTACAGCTCCTGAACTCTGTGTGTTCTTCTGGCTGTTTCCTCATGTGGCCTCTTTATTTGAGCAAACATTTGGGGCAAGAGCAGCATCAGAAGTGCATTATTTGTAGGTATTTTTAGGTAGGTTTGAAAGTTTTCCCCAGTGTTTAAGACTGTTTGTCCCATGGTGTTCAGCCTCTTATTGTCCAGCTTATTGAATTAGGAATGCTGCAAGTGTGGATTGGTTTGGGGAAAATTTACTTGGGATGGATGAACTATTCTGTAGGGAAAGCATTTTTAAATTGTTATTGTTCTCTTTTTTTAATGGATTGCTGGCCTCGCTTTGTTGCTACCATTAAGAAAATTATCCATGAGTTTGTTTGTATTTCTCCTGAAAATCCAAGCATTGGTTTGCCATGTTGCTTGGGATAAACTGTGAGATTGCCACACCTGGTGACTATAAATAAATGATAGAAAATAGGACCTAACAAAGCACGAACTGTGTTAGAAAATGAACTTGGCATTTAAATTGGTTGTTTAATGAGTAGTGAGATATGACAGGGAAAGCAATATTTATTTTATTGCCATGACATGGTGTTGGCTCTTGCAGTGAAGAGCCCAAATGAGTGAGTTTCCATGTTATTCCAGTCTGGATTAAAATTCCCAGCCTGACTGTGCTTTTGGTTGCTGTTTTATACCTCAAATATTCTGGTTTCAGTGGTGTAAGACCAGCACTTGTGTGTTTGTGCCCTCTCCAAGGCAGGGTTGTGCAATGGAGCTACCTTGGTTTGGAAAGCGGCGAAAAGAAATAAATTGGAATATGCAAACCCAACTGGATGAGGCAGCACAGTTGGTGGCTATCGAGTGGTTTTGGCAAGGCCTTAATTCAACAAACATTTCCTGATAAAATTTCACTCAGCTGCTTTACCAAAGTCTCTAAATGTGCTTGGGCACAGGGAAATAATCCCAGGCCTAAATCCATGTGCAGGGACTGCCGAGCAGGGGTGGGCAGGGCAGGGACTTGTGTTCCCCTCTTGGAATCCAAAACTCCCAGAAATTTGGGCCTGGAAGCCAAAGCTTAGAATTAAATCCAAGATTTGAAACCTTGGAAAAGGCTCCCAAACTGAGGTGCTAGAAGTGAGAATGTGGATTTATAGTTTAAAGCAGATACAGGTTAAGCTTAATAAAAGAAAGTTTAGAGTTTTAGAGTTTAAGATAGAGAAAAAATAGAAGTAATTACAGAAGTAAACAGAGAGTTTAGAATGCAGAACTGTAGGTTTGTGTGCTATATCATGATTGGCTAAGAAAGCTCACACTGTAGCATGAGTCCATAAGACCAAATATGCAAAGATGGGTCAAAAACATAAATATCCTTGTTGTCAGTGTTTTATTGGTTAATAAACCCTTAAAAGGATTGTGACTGCAGGTCTTGTGACCTTCTGAGCCATGCAGTGAAGATGTGAGCCCAGCTCACCCTTCCTACCAGTGTAGAAGATAAGAAAAATAAATCACATCATCTCAAGCACTTAGAGGTCCCATCTCTAATTCATTAAAAATCCCCACATTTCCCTTTGTTTTTTTTTCTGATCCTTTCTCCAAAGGCAAATTATCTCTGATGGCATTTTCAGCTCTACCTAGTGAAGCTCTGGAATGGCCCAGGGACAGGCAGGGAGCAGAGCTTTCCAAACTCTTCCCACGTGGCTGGTGTGGAAATCGGTGCCAGGCTGTGTTTGTGCCCCTGGGGTCAGAGCTGGGCACCAGGGAGCAGCTCCTTTTCCCAGGCACTGGGGAAGAGGCTGCTCCATGCAGAGTTAATCTGGATAAAGTGCTCCAGGCTCTTAGCAAACTGATGGGAGATAAGGAAAATGGATGTCAAGTGAGGTGCATCTTCTAATCCTGGAAGAAATCCCTGCTGGAAAAAGGAGCCTTTGTGTTTCCTCACCAGCACAGGCTGCTGAATAAGCCACGAGGAGCAGATTTCATGCTGTCTCCAGACATTCCCTGTCACCATGGAACTGGGTGGTGATTTACCAGCGAGGTTTTAATTAAAGTGTCTTTCTCCTGAAGAGTATAAATGCCTTTGTGTACAAGTTGGAGTCTCCTGCTTTTTGTGCCTGAAAGGCCTCAGCAGGCATTGAAGTAATCTTGGATCTGGGATGGGCTGATGGAGCACCAAGAAGGGAGGGAAAGAATAAGCAGAATTTATTTATCAAAAGTCCCGAGTACCTGCAGTGGGAACTTCTGGGATGCGTGTCAGTTGTGAGAAGTGTCTAAATAGGGGTTTAAGAATTGAGTTTTGGGAAGCAAGTTTGGAAGCATTAGGGGGTTCTACCTTTGCAGGTCTGCATGGTCTGGCTTGGCAGTGATACTGGAATATTTATTCATTGAGATACTGCTGGCCTGGATGGCAACAGGCAGATAAAGAGGTGGTTGATACTGAATATTTGCAGATGAAAGGAAATCAAACCCCTTCCACTCTAAGAATAAGTCGGGTATGTGGGTAATGGTTGAGCATTTGTCTTCTACCCATTACACAAAATGTCTTTTTCTGGAGAAGTTGTGATTGCATTCTTGTGGGAGACTTCCAGAAGTGGTTTCTATAGTTCAGCTGGCCAGGGAAGTTGGTTGTGTTAGGGCCCACAGAGCACCTGCCAGTGGTTTCTAGCACAGCAGTGGCTGCAGTAGGATCACCTCCCAGAAAATAAAAAAGATTATTCCGATGCATTTGTGAGGAAATGCAGCTGTTCCTGCAGCTTTTCCAACAAAAACCAGGTGGTGCTTTTAAAGGGAGACAAAAAGTCTTCCCTGAGCTAATCTTGATCCTCCTCTCTGCCCAGCTTTAAGATCCATCACTCTGATGTGCTCCAGCATTCCGTGTCCTCGGCTCTGGGGGGAAGTTTCCGTGGGGTGTGAGCACAGAGACAAGTGGCAGCCCCAGGAGGCTGCCCCAGTGTCCCTCAGTGCTCCTCCTTGTTGGACCTGGATCCTGTGTGCTGCCTTTTCATCCCCCTTCCACCCTGGAGGCCACAAAAGGATTTCACTGCTGGGTTTTCATGGGAAGCTGCCCCACGTCTCCAAAATCCATCTGTTCAGGGGCACTGGTGTTCATTAATGCTCCCACCCTGGCTGCTTTGCAAGGCAGCTGGAAATCTGTTTTTGCTCTTTATTTAACTATGTTGATAAGAGCTTAGGGAATGCATTTATCCAGATTTGTGGAAGGAGCTGGAATGGAGAAATATTTGTTGGTAAAACACCCTGCTTGGCAGTGGTGCATTGCAAACATGAATGGAGCTGTTTGAATAAGGGAGTTTACAAACCTCTATTTGAAAATCATTTACTCCCTGGCTGTGATAGTGCCTTCAGAAGTGGTCTGGTTTTTGCTTTTTTTTTAAAACAGATGGTTAAATATTTGCTATTGCAGTTCAATTTTATCACAGCTTTTTCTGTGTTTATCTTTCCTCTCCGGAGCACTTAAGTGGGAGATAACGGGAATCCCGTTCAGTTCCTTGGGTTGCTGCAGTACCTGAAGAGCTGCACTTCCAGAGGAGGACCGGGGGGGCCACAATAAATGAAATTTAAGATGTATTTGCTGTTCTGACAGAGTTTCAGGCTGCAGTACAGCCCAGGGAGTTCTAGGAGATGTAGGGACTGTGCACAGTCCTGGCCTTGGCAGCTTTTGGCCATAAACCGCAGCAGGTATTTAGGAAATTTCTCTCCCAGGCTCTTGCTTTTACTTCTAATGTGGCCAAATTCCTCATGTAAAAATGGGGTTTGGAATAGAAACGCCTTGTGAAAAAGAGAGGTTGGGAATCGTTTGTGTTCCTGAGTTGAATCCTCTTTCCAGTAGTACATTCTCTTTACAGCTGAGAGCAGCTGTACTTGGATTTTTCAAGAATACTTGAAATAATGGGAACAACTTTGGTGCCTTGCCAGAAGAAATTGTGTAACTGAACCATCAGTAGCTTTGTTGTTGTTGTTGTTGAATTTATTCATAAAAACATTGTTTTCCAGCATTCTGTTTAGATGCAGTGGGAACCCTATATTTAAGCATTTATGTAACATATGAGTTAAAATCTTACCTTGCAATCAAGCAAACAAGGCCTAGTTGGGAATTTCAAAGGAAACGCTGAATTTTGAGTGAACTTATGTAATTTCATTTGCATATTAATGTCAGCTTGAATTAGCATGAATGGAGAGAAAAGGCAAAAATGAGTATTAAAACAATGTGAAGCCCTGAGCAGCTGCTCAAGTGCCATTTTTATCCACATCTCCCTCATTTTCCCCTAAACTCCAAACACACAAAAGAAGTTGATTTACACTGTAAATTCAGGCCGAGCAAAATCCAATTGGAGCTCACTCGAGCTCCGTTTTGATGTCGGATTCAAAGCTCCTGCAAATTCATTTTATCTCCTCTGCTCGCCCAGTCTCCCGCTCGTAAATCCTGTTGAAGGAGAATAAAAATGAGCTCGGCCTGATGGGAATTTCATGTGCGGAGTTCAAAGCAGTTTGCACATCAGAGCCAACGTCAATCAAGGGAGGATCTGGGGAGGAAGGCAGGGAGCGTGGAGCTCCGTGGGGACCAGATCAAAGTGGGAGTGGCGCCTCTGTTTGCTCCCTCGGGATGCAGCTTCCATCCCTTCTTCATGAAAGGGAATCCAGCAGGAAGAGAGGGAGAAGGGGGATGGGGTGGAGGAAGCTGCCTTGGAAGTGAATCTCAGCCAATGTTCTTTAAATCTGAAAAAAAAAAAAAACCTCAAAATTACAGCTTCATCGTTTTGGTGTGGGGTTTTTTTCTAAGTGTTGTCATCTGGAATATTTTGGGTGAAATCTCAAGAGGCTTTTATCCGCCTTGTAGTCTGGCAAAAGTGGGAGACACTAGTGGAAATTAAGGGAGATACTGGTAAAAAGTAAGGGAGCTAGTGGTGAGAATTTAGGGAGACACAGATGAAAATGAAGAGAAACTTGGGTTAAAACTAAGGGAGGCACGGGTAAGAATTTAGGGAGACACTGTGAAAAATTTAAGGGAGATACTGGTAAAAATTAAAGGAGATAGTGGTAAGAATTTAGGAAGACACTGGTAAAAATGAAGAGAAATGGGTTAAAACTCAGGGAGACACAGGTAAGAATTTAGGGAGACACTGGTAAAAATTAGGGGAGGCACAAGTAAAAATTGAAGGAGACAGTTAAGAATTAAGAGGTAAATATTAAGGGAGATACTGGTAAAAAGGGGAGACACAGGTAAGAATTTAGAGAGACACTGGTAAAAAATAAGGGAGACACAGGTAAGAATTTAG